ACCATTACCACTACCACTACCACTAGCACTAACACTAGCAAGACCGCGACCACGACCACAACCACTACTGCTGCTGCTACTGCTACCACTACCACTACCACTACCACTACCACTACCACCACCACTACCACCACCACTACCACCACTACCACCACTACTACCAGTACTACCACTACTACCACTACTACTACCACTACTACTACTACTACTACTACTACTACTACTACTACGACTCCTACTGCTACTGCTACTGCCACTGCCACTGCCACTGCCACTGCCACTGCCACTGCCACTGCCACTGCCACTGCCACTGCCACTACGATTATTGATATTACTCAAAGTAGGGTTGGATTTGTACACCAGGACGGCCGCCACATCAATCGCAGCCTCTTTTTCCTGGGTGAGGCCGGCAGCGGATCTGAGTTCAAGTCCAGGATCCATGATCTGGAATCCAATACGAATCATCAGAGTTAAAAATACCGATGCTATTCTTCGGGGCCTTCATATAGTTATAGTACAATGCACCCACACACCCTAGTCTACGTATTACGTAAGGCCTCCACACTAGTTTGTCTTCTTTGTAGGCTTTGGAACAGGCTGACATGCACTTGACGTTTTCCTTGGCCAGCCTGTCTGCATGGAAAAGGTTTAGAGGTTGCAATCACTGGGAGGGTTGAAACGAAGCGCTTTCATGAAACGCTTTCAGGTACAACGTACAACCAGAGGTTTCGTTGCCTCGGCATTTCGGCCGCAGCTCGGCCTGCCTCCAGGCTCTGGTACAGAGCCTAGGGCCTAGCAGTCGATGCACATGCAGCAGCGAGATGCGAAAACGGAGGACACTCAGCACCTTCTTCTTGACGGCCTGAAGTCAGGAGCTGCAATCACGCAGCAGCAGACATGCTGGGAGTCGTTAGTGAAGGGGTGCTGCCGGTGTTGTGGTGTTTCCTTCGCGGTGCTGCTGCTCATTGTATTGATCCTGTTCATCGCGATTGGCCCTGCGGGCTTTACGTACTATCTGGACGTTTTAAAGATCAGACAGTATGGATATGGCGGAGCAGCGTGCATGGCATCTGATGACGATTGCCGGACTGCCCATGGCTTCCCCGGAAGTGACACGGACAGCACTGTGACATGGTACGAAGAGCAGGTGCGGCTGATGGAGCAGCTGCCGCATCGCTTGGAGACTGGTGACGCCTATCGTGCCAATGAGCTGGGGAATGTCCGAATAAACGACTACACTTGGCCAAACATCGCCCTGGGCTCCAATGAGAGCGTACACAGCCGCTTGCGGCCGGTCTACGATGCGCTCTGGGGCGTTGGGGCGACCACTTGGAGCAAGGAGTCTGTTCGAAAAAGCGCACGCGACTTCATTGCCCAGGTCAACGACACCTTCACAGTTAAAAAGGACTTTTCCAAGTGGGTTGAGCTCGAGCTGCACAAGATCAGCCTGGGCTACGACCTGACACCAGAACAGCTTGAACGTTTTCTGGATTTCCAGGGCAGCGCCACAATGATGATCGTCCTGCCCGAGATATTGAACCCTGTGCTTAGCATGATGTCCAACGTGCAGGACTTCATCTCCACCAGGAAGCAGCTGGTCCAAGAGTACACCGATACTTTGTCATAGTTGGGTAACATTTTACATTTTTAAGGGTACTTAAACCCAATAAGGAATATACATTTAAATTTTTAATACTACCCCAACCATGAACTAGGATATAATTGCCAGCGACCGGCGGGGCGTCTTCGATAACGTTTCAGCCTCCTTCCGTCCCACAATGGCGAGCGCTCTTGTCGACTCGCTGACTTTCGCAGGAGGCTTAAGCGTCCCTCATGCGCTGACCTCGGTCTTCGCGCTGATGTACTCTGATCAGACTCCTGCGGGTAAGTCTCACGATGTCTCAAGCCTCAGCAACGAGGAGGTAGAGCGCTTCGTTTTTGAGGCAGTGCGACTCTTCTCACCCGTGATCGAGTTCCCCTGGATGGATGCAAAGGACCAGCGGCGCAAGCTGATGATACAGATGAAAGCTTTGCGAGATCCGGCCGTCTGGGGCGAGCATGCGAACCGATTTTCCTTGAAGCTGGGTGCCAAGTGGGATAACTTTTAAGTTTCTCTTATGGATGTTGTTTGTATTTTTGTATGTACCTATCCACGAAGCCTTAAACTTCAACCCAGGAAGCCCCTTGATACATACCAGAACTACTCGGGCATCGGCTGGGTCGAACCGGCGAACGGCCCCGAGAAAAAGGGCCGCCGCTGGGTCTCCACGCCCCGAAGCAGAGGATGCCCGGGCCAGGACGGTTCGAACGTTTTTTTTTTTTTTGTGGTTCCGGGTTTAATATAGGGCCTCTGGGGTTTAGGGTTTAGGGTTTAGGGTTTGGGGTTTAGGGTTTGGGGTTTAGGGTTTGATTTAGGGTTTAGGGTTTAGGGTGGGTTTGGGTTCTGTAAATCCCTGTTGCTGTAGCCTTGATGAACGCCCTGCCTTGCAGAGCTGCAAAGAGCTATCGATAATGCCAACAAAACTCCCTACAAGAACCCTTCTCGATCTTGGAACCTCTAACTCTAGCGTCTCCATCATGAGTACTGTAATCATAGTGCCCCCCTACAGTCCTGAGTAAGGTATGGTATATTGCCCTAAACCCTATAGACTATAGACCCCATTCCAACTATGGTATAACACCCTAAATCCTATAGACTATAGACCCCATTCCAACTATGGTATAATACCCTAAATCCTATAGACTATAGACCCCATTCCAACTATGGTATAATACC